CTTGTTTCGAGGCAGTCGATGCAAATTTGTTTTATCCGAGAGACATTTTTATATATGTTCGCCTGTGTTGACTAGTCATCGTTCATTTGTCCATGGCCATCAGATTTCAGTTCCTCGCCGTCCATCATTTTGTGCTGTACCTGATAATGAACCCGGTCAACGTTGGGTAAATAATCAACCACCCGAAGGAAGAAGCGGTCAAGGCAGATGAAGAAGATGATGAAGTATTTGCCGCAGTCTGTTTCGATTATCGTTTCTGACTTCTGGTCGCAGAGTCAGTACTCTGCAATAAAGTAAAGTGCAATGCAGTTACAAGAGTAAATACCATTTAATTTCATTGCTTCGCCATTAGTAATGAGGACAGACAGTGTGCGATATCTGAAACGTTCATTGATTAATGTCTAACAGCAATCGCTCAAATCATAATCCGAATGGTTTAGGGATGTTCTCATTTTAGTGTTTTATACTTGTTGGCTTTACCGTATTTGATGTGTTACAGATTCTAGCCGCCCGATACTTAGCAACGTCATTGCCATATCGAATTGCCATGATTCTGTTTATATTCCTCTCTCAAGATGAGTCAAGCTGATGCAAAATGTTGAAGAATTTGTATACAATAAATACGGAATGTCATATTCTAAAGAATTCTCAGAATTTCGAATGAATAACCATATTAACAAAGATAAAACACCGCACAGAAAGAGTACTTCTCGATATTAATAGAATGTATCGTCAGTCAGGAAATTCGTTTGAACAACTGCTTCGAGAAGGCATCGAGTGGTTTTGTAAACAGTCATGGATTTTAATAAATGGAGTTTGGAGACGTCTAGCTGATGATCGGTCGACAGCTATGCATTAAACACATGATCATTTATTCCATAAAATAAGGTCTGCCAACACCATGAATAAGTGCGTATATGGTTGGTTTCATAAATCGTCACGGTAAGGGGTCTACTTGTTTGCATTGTTAAGCCAGAAGAATTTGGAGGTAATGTTGGGGTCATCTTACTAATCATATCTTATTCTTTCCTCTTTAGCATGTTAAATTCTCCTACATGAAAAACTAATTCTGCGTTATTTTCAATTTCAAGATTTCACGAATTTGTCCCTACATATGTGCCTGAACTAATGTTCGCTCTGTCTGAGCATGCAAGATATTTACGGCGTTAGGATCCATTCAACAATAAATTCTGTGAGTGAGGCCACGAGAACAGTCGAAGTCCTTATATTTGCCGATGCTGTCACATCTGGTTTAGAGCAGTAAATCGTCTACTCATTGTCAAGGTCGTAGATCTGAGGGTTTTATCTATGGTACAAGATGTTTCAAATATATTTTCCTGCTGGAGTACGCGTTTTCAACAAGTTTGCTTTCTTTCTGACCAGAGCAGACTCCTGTTGCCAGAGGCGATGTTTTGGGGCCGCTAGTTTATCTTTGACCTACTGAAATTTCTTATTTCTTTGAGCTGCTCAAAATCGTCACTCCTCAGGGATTCTTGGTCTGCTGATTGGGGTTGCCCGCAACTGAAATCATTGCATATAACTAAAAATTGCATTAAAATGGTTCGTTTATACGCAACGTATGCAAATTAGTCAATCAGGTGATTGAGCAGTATCAATATTTCGGCTCGTCTATCCTGGGACTTCTTGAAATGTGGTGGATTACCAAGCGGCGCGTTAGGCATAGCTTTCCAAAAGCGCTTCTGCTTAAAGTCTGAACGAATCCTTTTCTATATGCTACAAAGGATGATCAGAAACGACTCCAAGTACGTGATGTATTCAGCGATGGACACTTTCCTGAACTGGCATTTCAGGTTTTCAAATACTGGGCAACCGTGGCCAACTTGAATGCGCTGTAAATGACTTGGAAGAAGAGGCATTCTGAAGAGAAATTCAGTGATGGAAGTACAATTTCTTTGCCTCATTTTCCCGTATTCTTAAATTATTAGCGCTTACATTAGTTTTCATTCTTGACAATTTTTTTATTGCTAGAGATAATTCTTGTGAACCCATTAAAGCCCCTATTAACAGTTGATAATGATGCTTTAAGATAACGGGAAGACACTGCAAAATCGAGCAGGAATGCGTAACACGAGTTTGCAACCAAGTGGCTAAAAACTTGAACATCTTTTCTAACTACGTGGGTTTTATCTTCAACATGATGAAAACTAAGACAATGACTAAGAGTAGGCTTGAATTACCGGAAATAATACCTGATTTGGACCAGGTAACATTTGTTCCTCCGTGAATGAAAATGGTGCCTGTGCAACTTCAGAATCTGCGAACAGCAAAAGCCTGCATGAGAAACTCTAGCAGGATCAGAACCTTCATGGCACTAAAAATTGATAAGCCTCAAATCTAGTCGATTGCATGCCAAGAATAAAAATTTTCGATCGCCATGGATGTAGAAAGTCTGTTGAAGCATTCAACATGTAGTGTTGCAAATGACTGATAAGAAGAGCGATAGACCTGAAAACGAATGAATATATCTTAGAATATCTTGGCTTTCAATGCTTTTATCTAAAAGTGCAGCGCGCAAATAAATTAAAAATACTTACCACTATGGGTAAGAAATATTAAATTTTTAGCACTATGCGAAAAAATGATGATTTTCTGTAAAATTGACAACAAAGCTTGACCCCGGCGATAGAGTAATGGAAAAGCCAACACCACTTTGTGTGAACGACTGCAATACTCAAGATTTTACACCACTGACCTCGAAAAATTCTTACTAGACCCAAAGCTGCAGCATTCAATAAAACTATGACGTAATCTCTTAAACCGGTACTCAGTCTGACTCGATAATCGTCTGACTATCTACTCGAGGAGGATAACATTTTTTACTGTCAAAAATTCCTTACATGAGGTAAGCGAAAGACCTGCTCTGTCGCGTTGTATAGAAGCAGCGTTTTCACTTGATGCCATGCTTCAATCGTTAATGTCTTCGAAGCATTGGAAGAAAGTGTAGCCTCGGTAGCTGCAGAACCCGATGGCGTTAGGTGCTTCACAAAACGAGATATAACAACGATTCATTTTGCAACTAAACGACAGACTGCACAAGATTTTAAATGCAACGTTATTTCACTGGCACAGGCCGGTCATTTTATAAAGGAGGATCTCCTGTTGACTTTCGGTTTTCGAATGGCCAATTGTTGCTAACCGGGAAAGAATTTTTTTTTGCGGAATTCCAGGAATCAATCTGAAATGTTTATTAATTGGGATAACCAATCGCTGCTCGTTTGGCGAGCGAATATTCCCCGGCAGTACAAATGCTGCTGCCATTACAAAAGGAAAGTAAGATTTTTAACCTTTAAGATGTCGGCTGCCCTGCCATTGTCCTAATTTGGGAGGGGCGATTTGTCGCTCCGTTTATTTCAAGAAAATAACAGCATGGCTGTAGTTGATTTTCGTTTCCATTCCATTAGCTGGAAATGTCTCATTGTTTGAAGTCAGAATTTACGGTCACGTAGCTAGCAT